AAAAACGTTCTTTCACTATGGAGTATAAATTATAATCCTTTCTTTAAGAATGATTTAGGAATAAAGAGTGACCAAAGATAAATTCGCTACCTTATTCCCATAGTCACTTAGAGTTACGAAAGCAAGGTCAAATCACTTCAAACGCTTATAGTTGATGTCAGTAGTGGGAAACCCAAACTAACTACAGTAAATTGCCTGCAAATTTTTAAAGATTTTGGATATCAGGCCTATCAGATTAGCGCTTTCATAAGACTGAAACACTTATGCCTTAGAATATCGCAGAACCTATATCATTTAAGCTTCATATTGGACATCTAAAATTTGGTATAATTTGTTTACCAACCATTCATAATGCAGAAACCCAGATTGCTCCGTGCATTATTTAATCGACATTGATCCCGAAGAGCATATGTCTCTGAATTTTTGGAATGCTTTTGTTTGTAATCACACTGAGATGGCATATCTTTTTTCGCAGAACTCGACTGAAGTCGGCTCATTCTGATTCCATTCTGTGTTTCTGAGCTGCATGGGCAAGAAGAGAACGCAGTAAATGCAGCCTCGTTGTTGCCATCAATCGGTTGCCCGGAGAATATTTCAGCTCGGCCGGTGTCTTTGATAAATGGCTTCTTCTTTGTCTTCGGCTTGTCACCCTGGCTCTTCGCCCGAGTGCGCACTTTAGCTTTCGCCTTGGATACACTCGGTGACGTCACTTCTGTAGCGCCAGAGACACTGGAAGCATGACGCTGGAAAGCAGCCAACAAAGTTTGAAAAGCCAATTGGCTTTGCTCCCTTCGACGACCCATAAGAGTACTGTGAATTTCAGCATTCCTTTCCACAGTAGCCGCAGCATGGTTTGAAGCGACACGACGAGTTTCTCTATCTTGGCGGCGTCGCCGAGAGGAAACTTTAGCGGAATTACCCGAGGCTATTCGAGCGGCCGAAACGAGGCGTCTAGCAGCACGCTCTGCAGCCAAGTGATTTGTTATCATTACTCCTCCAGGTTCCAGGCGAATGCGTAGAAAATCTTCTGGCAAGTTTCCAA